TCAGACCGATGAGCTTTGTAAAAATCGACGCGTTTCAGAAAGGCGTTTCATAGAGGAGAAACAATAATGTACAGTATGTGGAAAATAATGTGTTTTTTTGAACTTTAAACCGCATAAACACATTTCATTAGACCAAATACACAAAATAATGTTCTTTTTAGCAACATCATATGACCCCTTTAAGTTTTAATATATATATATATCTTCATGGAACATGATCTTGAATTAATAAATTATTTTTGGCATAAAAGAAAAAAAATAATTTTGACCCATACAATGTATTTTTGACTATTGCTACAAATATAACCCAGCGACTTAAGACTGCTTTTGTGGTCCAGGGTCACATATGTGGATTTGCTTCTAAATTATTAGCAATTATTAGCTTTTTAATATTTTTAATTACTATTATCAATGTTGAAGACAGTTTTGGATGTGTGGACACCATGCTACAATTTTTTTTTTCATTTTCAAAATTTCACAATATTATAACAAGTTTTATTGCATGTCTCATTGAAATAAATGCAGCATTGGTGGTCATAAGATCTTTCTTATGATAAAAGACTTTGACTCGTAGTGTAAAAGCACAGGACAAGCAATAAACATTGTCCCAGTGCACATAGCGAAAGGTGGCCCACTAAGGTAATGAACTCTACTCCTGAAAAAAGCTTCAGGTTTATTATCAACCAATGACACCTAAAATAGCTAATCAAGGTCTTCAAGATTACTTCAAAATTACAGGCAGGAGTGTTTTTTTTTTTAATTTTAAGTGATGGTATTGCCTTTGCAAATAAACAGTTTATTATATATATATATAAAGGAACCAAAGATGCATCTGATCTCACCAGAACACGTCCTCCATTCCTCTGACTGGCCACGGTCACTCCCAGCCACATGCCCTCCACCATCTCAGTCGACTGCGCTGGAGGAGAAACACACTCCATCAGACAGCAGTGACTTTATACCTCAGTCTGCCCAAAAAGAGCATTTCACTATATCGCAATCTGAATGATGAGGTAGCAGCTTGAGAGAGACTCTCGGACAGAAATAATAACAATAAGCATGCTTTTAAAAAGAGTATTTATAATGGAAATAATATACTTCAAAAGAAGTGTGAACTGAAGGGAATATTTTCAGATAGTTAGCTGCATGTTATTTACAATGAAATGGAAATGTATTGTGGTTTAAATTTATATTAAATACAATTAGTTGAACTAATCAACAACATGCGCAACGCTGACCTCATACGTCATGCTCCCGGAACTGCTTCCGTGAACAACTGTTGGCGCAAGCTACGTTAAAGTGATTATTATGTTTTGAATATGGATATTTTTCTTACAAAAATGCATCGATTCTCTACAGGAGGCCTTTGTTCACCCCTGGAGCCATGTGAGACACTTTTTTTTATGGATGGGCGCTTTTTATTTAATTTCTTTTGGACTGATGCACGCAACACCTGCTGAGTGGCATTAAACAGCTTGAAAGATCAAAAACAATTTTTAATATAACTCCGACTGGATTCATCTGAAAGAAGAAAGTCATATACACCTAGGATGACTTAATTTGTGGGCTAATTTGCATTTTTGGGTGAACTAACCCTTTAAGCATAGGAATACCTACGTGGACTGATGAGGTCCATCCTCCTGCAGTCATGCTGGTCGATGGTGATGGGACAGTAATACACGCCTCCGGTTTCATTAATGTTGAATTTGCTGAGCTGGGGCTGGGCTTTTTCTTGGGGCGCTCCAACTAAAAGCCTACAGAAGAACAGTGAACACTCAATAAAAGACTCAAATCGATTTTTCTGAATACTAGTCATATATTTTCTAAATGCATATTATATTGTGAACAATTCACCAGTGCATATGTTTAATTTAAGCAAAAATTGACCAGGACTCCTCCAGTCATTTACCCTGTTTAAACCACACCTCTACAAGCGTGTGTTCATCTGCTTCCACTCAACATCCAATCAACAACCGATGCATAGGACCACATTTTTTCTTTTTTCATTTCAAGAAAATATCTGTTGCTACTTTCGTTTCAACGTGACTTTTAACCAAAATATGGGCCTTAAAGGGATAGTTCACCCAAAAATGAAAATTTGATGTTTATCTGCTTACCCCCAGGGCATCCAAGATGTAGGTGACTTTGTTTCTTCAGTAGAACACAAACGGAGATTATTAACTCAAACAGTTGCTGTCTATCAGTCATATAATGGAGGTGAATGGGAATCACAGCTTTGAGAGTCAAAAAAACATACACAAACAAAACCAAATTAAACCCTGCAGCTCATGACGATATATTGATGTGTAAAGACATGAAACGATTGGTCTGTGCAAGAAACTGAACAGTATTTATATAGTTCTTTACCTCTGATTCACCTCAATGTTTGAACTGTCCTGAGCGCGTCCTCGACAGCCGGCGCATGACGCGTCTTCTTCTTCTTCTTGCCTTACGGCAGATCGCAGACTTATAAGTGCATTCCTGCCACCTATCTATCAAATGGACCATTGACACTCTATCTACAATCTCAATTAGGAGTGTGGCGGTAATGCACTTATAAGTCTGCGATCTGCCGTAAAGCAAGAAGAAGAAGACACGTCACGTGCCAGCTGTCGAGGACGCGCTCAGGACAGCTCTCAGGACAGCTCACGATATAAATACTGTTCAGTTTCTTGCACAGACCGATCGTTTCATGTCTTTACACATCAATGTATCGTCATGAGCCGCAGGGTTTAATTTGGTTTTGTTTGTGTATGTTTTTTGACTCTCAAAGCCGTGATTCCCATCCACTTGCATTATAAGACTGACAGACTGCAACGGTTTGAGTTAAAAATCTTCGTTTGTGTTCTACTGAAGAAACAAAGTCACCTACATCTTGGATGCCCTGGGGGTAAGCAGATAAACATCAAATTTTCATTTTTGGGTGAACTATCCCTTTAAGGCCCATATTTTGGTTAAAAGTCACATTGGAACAAAAGTAGCAACAGGTCTTTTCTTGAAATGAAAATTTTTTTGGGTGAACTATCCCTTTAACTGTAAATGATATGCATGTAAAAGTGGTCAGCATGTTCTCACAATTGCTGATCAATTTTTCTCATTTCATTCGATTGCAGAATAAACAAAGTGTGGGTGATCAGAACATAGAGTGCCAAATCTCAAGTGATTCTTGGGAAGAAAGTAGTCTGTACAACCAAGCTTTACATTTGAATAAACAAAAGTGGCATGATGTTTAATTTAGTTCCTGATTTGGATCTCAACGAGGAAACAATTGATAAAATCCAGCACTCAAATCACCATGCATAAAAAATGAACGTAGAGAGTAAATTTGTAAGTGTATGGTCTTAGTATAGAAAAAGAATGAAGGAAAAGAGAATTAGAGAAAGAAAACTAATGTGCTACTTTACATTTTACAACCATTAAATACTAAACCCATTCACAGCAAAAACGATAATTATAAAGATGATTTAAATGATAACTATATTAGCGTTCACACCAATGGATGAAAGTGTTCTGTTTATTATAAGTGCTATTTATGTGCCTGTCTTGTTTGTGTTCTTTAAAGTCTGAACACCATGATTGGCTGTCTATGTATCAATTATCAGCTGAAAAAAAAAAGTTCTGAATGAAATTGCAAAAACCATTGTTCCTCGATGTCTTGATTGTTGTGGTGTGAACTTCCCCATGATCATAAATTGAAAATTATTATTTAAAAACTTAATTTTTTTAAAGCGTTTTTAAACAGTAAATTTTCCCTACTTTTTTCGATATTAACCTTCTTCTTCAGTGCTGCTAACCACAACGTACCGGCCCTTGCAGCTTAGAAATTCAGCTCCTGCTCTGAGAGCGTGTGAATGATGTCATGAAAGGCGGGAGCTATTTCTGAGCCCTGGGGACACGCTCTATCACCAGATGTCAGTGCAGTGATCTTAGCAAGAATAGTTTGGACTTGCAGAGTTGTTAAACTCGAGCCCATTCCTCACTGATAGCAGAGGACAAAGCTTTACTTAGCCTATCAATGTGCAATATCTACTGTCTGAGATTGTTCTTTGCTAAAACGTTTGTTAGAAGAGCAGTAGTAGTGTTGAGTGATCGTCTAGTGGACATTAGTGGAAGACATTCCATTCTGAGTATCACTCATATAATGAATACAGACACCATAAAGGAGTGTAGTTTACTCCTGTTCAGAGAAGACCCCGACAGTAAAATGGCATTACAGGAATTTTTCACAGGTGAGAGTGCTGAACCAAACCTGCAATCAGTCATGACTAATATTTGTCAGTGGTTTTTGCAGGAATGACTCCCCAAACTTAGTACCTGTCTCATACTAGCACCGATACCCTGCAGCTTACATTAGTGTTTACACTGAGCAAACCACAGAGGAGTGGGAGAAGCACTTACAGAAAAGAACTAAAACAACGGCAGAAATGCTGGCTACTACATTTTGGCAAAGCTCCAAAAATGTACCCGAACATACAATTCACTGCACTTACCAACCGAAATTAACAATAGTGGAAGTAAAGCAACAAAAATGTTTATTCATTTTAACATGGGGCAGATTATCGAACAATAAAGACTTATTTTTACACAATACTATGACCTCAAAACAATTTTATTGCAGTACGTGATTTGTAAACTAATACATTTTTTACATTTGCATCACATAACCAGCTCCATATTTTTGCCTTTTGTGACATAGTAAACTTGCTCAGTAGCGCACCTGGTACACCACTGAACGTGGGTTCGAGTCCGGTGAAACACAAGTCACAATGGTTAGGTTTAGTGTAGGGTTTAGTTTAGGTGGTACTTTTTTTAAACGCAGTAGAGCATTAACCTTTTAGTGCCACCCAGACATACAACAATCAACATAATAAAACAATGCCATATTCAAATTTGCCTGCTTCCAATACATCCAATAAAAAGGCAACATAACATCATATTGCAGAAATGTTGTAACAGGCACGCTTTTCCAATGAGCCTGGGCTTCATTATTCACATTAAGTTATTGATATGCATACAGTAACATTGTAAATAGTTTTAAAATGTTGTTACATAACTATAAAAAACAATAAAAGACTCCACTGCGCCAAAAACTGATTATGGTTGTAGTTCACAAAAATACAAATATACAAAAATATTAAAAACCTACACACTACTGTTGCAAGAAAATATGCACAATTAATGTAAAACATTAAGATTTTAAAGTGTGAATTTCAGTCACATGTGACCTTTCTCATGCCTGATTACAATAGGTGCGTTCGACTCCAAGCAGCACTGTGCAGATCGATCGCAATCTGACTTGAAGCAGTGCATGCCGGTTAGTAATTTTGTCCGACTTGAGACGGTGCTGACGCCACGTCACTGTCACGTGTGGCATCAAAGCACCACGAGAGCGTTTTCGAGAGCAGCCGGCTGACTCAGAGAAATCGAGTCATGAGAAATCGAGTCCCCCCTCGAAATTGGGTCCACTTAGGACCAAGGCGGTAGCTTTTTAAATGCCTGATCAAAAGTCAACACTTATGTTACTATTTCGTTGTGCAAATTAATGGTGTATAAGCTAACCTAGCAGGCTAATCGGGTAGCTGTATGCTATGCTAGTGCGTGAGCTAACCAAAAAAAATAAATAAATAAAAACGAGAAATGTTTATAACCTATATAAGTGATATAACCTATAGCTTCGGATACTAGCGTATGAAACATGTAATTTAAAAGACATTAATGGTCATTTATAACGAAGGTCAAACGACATAAATCAAAGCGCGATTTTGCAGGAATTGTAATCAGGCGCTAAAAATAATACCCATTAAAAGTTTGTTGAGCCAATGGGATCACTCGGGGTCCTAAGTGGACCCGATTTCGAGGGGGGACTCGATTTCTCATGACACCGGCGCAGTTTCTCCAGAGCGGCTGCAGCCATTGATGACGACACAGCCATTTCATGATTGGCCAGATTCACCGCATGACAACTATCACGTGTGTTTCGGGTTTATTCTAACCTTTTCAATTCCAATAATAGCCACAAATCTGTGTTTTTAGAACAGTAAAAGCTTTTTTACTATAGTCGCAATGTTATATTGAGTCACGTTTATCATAAAACACTGATGAAAGCATATATTCCCCCACTTTATTAGTATTTAAATAGTATATATTTACATTGAACTTTATTCTTGAACAGATGGCCATGTATTAAGCAGTATATAATCAGTATATATCTGTTGCTCGTGAAAACGTTTCTGAAACGTCTGTATATTTGACAAATATTGCATTTAATTCACTTCATCTGTGATAGAGTATGCAAACACCGCGCGAGTGTCACTAACGAGAGAAGAAAGTGTCCGGCTTGACGGCTCTGTTTTCAACCCCCGACTGCAAGCGACTACTCTCGTTGACTGCCGTCTGTAGCCGTGCTTCAAGTCGAATGCACCTAATGCTAAATCAACCATATTGGCTGATATAAGTCACATGATCAGTCACATGGCAAATCAAGAAACCATGCTGAACCATGTAAGTCACCCGATAAAAAAGTCACATAACTAAAAACATGGTAACGTGTGGCGCTGTTCAATGCAGCTAGTAGGCTCTTGCCTCGCTATGACACGTCACACATTCAATTCAGACACTACAGAGTAGCCAAAACAAAGAGACAATGGATGACCTGATAAGCTCCTGTTACATTATTCTTTACATATCTTAAAGGGATAGCTCACCCAAAAATGACATTTTCTAACTTACCTTCAAATCGATGCAAACCTGTATG